CTGGCACTGGATGAAGAACCCACAGAGGGTGGGGGCTCCCAAGCCTCCCAGGCCTCCACCTTGGTCCTGGTGAGAGTCTCCCACATCCCAGTGTCCCTAGCTGCTGCATGCTGAGCACACCCTCGGTGCAGCCCAAAGGACCAGAGCAGGGCTTGGACAAGGGCACAACACTGCCCTGCAGGACCAAGCATGCTCAGGGGCTAGGCTGGGGGGAAAAATGAAGTAGCAAGACTCTCAGAACAAAATCTTAAGAATGTCTTGGTTCTGTTATCTTGTCTTTCCTATGGCCTTCTCTGCTTTTTTCTGTTTTTGAAATATGAATGTGCTATATCCCATGTGTTTTGAAGTTTTTTATTTCAGTTTTATTTATTCCAAATAATTTCTTTTTTCTTGTCGAATTCATCAGTGGCTCATGGATTACACGGGAGCATCATTTTTCCAGGAGACTTTTGTGTTTCCTTTTTGTCACTCATATTGGTTATTCAGTGGTGCGGTTTTTCATGGTGCTGTAATTTGTTGTTGATGTGGCTGTTCTAACTCATACCAGTTGTTGACCTTGTTTCATGGCTTCTCACTTATGGTAATGTATAGTGATGGAGTACTGGGGTCTATCATATACAGATGTGGAGGTATAATGGAACATGCATATCTGCTTCCAGACGAAAGATGGATTCCCAATGAGACTGTTGGACATGTGTAGACAATAGGATGGACTGTCTGACACTGTACTAACAATGCTGGGGTACACTTAAATAAGAGACTGATAGAATTGATTCCTTATGAAGGACTACACCACTGTAACAAAATGGGGAAACTGTCAGGGGGTGGGAGTTTGGGGGGAATCCCAGCCTATATGAAATTGTACTACATAATTTAAAATAAAGATATATTTAAAAAAATGTTTGAACTCTTTTTTAAAAAATGTTTGTTTATTTTCAACGACTTGAAAGGCAGAATGACAAGTGTGACTGTGCTCTCCCATTTGCTGGGTCTCTCCCTAAATGGCCCCAACAGCCTAAAATTCCACCCGCATCTCCCACATCACTGGCAGAGAGCCAGGCACCTTGGTCCAGCATTTGCCTCTCAGCAGGAAACTGGACAGGAAGTCAGCACTCCCAGAAGCCATGTGGGTATCCTCAACATGGCTCAACCCTCATCACAACACCCACATCGACAGTGGAGTCAAAGCGGCAACAAAACTATTCTTGCCTGGCAAAATAAAATAACAATCCTATGTTGGCCTCCAGCTTTCTGGGAGAAATTTTACTGTTCATGAAAATCAGAATTCTAGTCTAGATTGCCGTACTTCAGTCTTTCCTATATTTCAACACATGAGCTAAAAATTCAGAATAATTTATAGAAATATATAAAATGTGCTATTTAAAAGATTATATAGCTTGAATGTGTCTTTGGGACCAGAAGTGTTTGTGATCTTGATTTTTTTGGAATTTAGAATCATATTACACGTGTACACACACACACACACACACACACACACACACACACACACACACACACATCTTGCAGATGGGACACAATCCTAAACAATTCGTCTAATTCATGCACACTTTACACAGAGAGTAAGAGGGTAATTTTTACCCAATATTTTCAGGGCACAGTGTGTTGACTGCTACCTGTCACACCAATTCAGGTGTGGAATTTCCCATTCCAGAGCTCAAAATTTCAGATTCTGGGCATTGTGGGTTAGGGATACTCAACGTCCACAGGTAACAGATGCCATTTCATGGTGTTTGATCTTAACATCCCAACGCAAGGGGCATGTGACGCCAGGAGCCTGAAGAAGGTTCATCTCACTGACACACCTTACATCAGCATCTTACAGCAGTGCTGCTCCAAGGACCAAATCAGAAAACCAAGAGAGGCTTCCCACAAGTGGCTTTCCCATGTGTGGCCCACGCGTTCTTGACAAAGCAATCAATTTAAACACTGAAGCAAGCCAGACACACACACACACACACGATGATTTGGCCTGCAGACTCACTGCACTGCAGGGCCAAGTCTTCCCCTCTAAGGCTATCCTCACCTGTGAAATGGCAAGGCTTTTTAGTGCAATAAACAAAGTGAGTGCTCACCGAATAGGACTGCCTGCTAATAGCACGTCATCGCCCACATGCCCAGACAACTAAGTTACTTCCACAATGACAGAGAAGTAGCTGCAGAGCCTGAGGCAAGAACTGGGCTCCTCATTCTTTCTGCATGATTACATATATATTTTTTCTTCTTAGAAGTAAGGCTGAGGAAGGGTGAGTGAAACCACTACCACACAGGCAAAATTAATAGTGAGTTTTCAATAACTGCAGAGCAACGAAAAACAAAGGCCAACAAAAATCTAATTTGATGAAGTTGTCTTTGAAATACATTTCTAAAAAGTCTCATTTCCCTGCTTCCACTAAATCCTGTGGCATTAAACTGGAGGGAGATAAAACTGTACCACATAATACAATGTAAACAACAATTAAAAAAAAAAAAACTGGAGGGAGAAAGTTATGGCATAAAGGTGTGCCCACACACTGACTGAAGCAGGTAATCACACATGCTTACTTCTTGGGCAGCACTGAGAGAATGGCTGCACCTGGCTTATTAGACACAGTTCCACATGTCCACTGCCAGCTACCTTTCTCCATTTCTCAAACTGTCAGAGAACTTGTCAAAATTAAGACAGCTGCAGCACACTAATTCAACTCCATGAATGCAAGATTGATTTGGAAATCACACTCCTCTGACGATTCTCATTAAATAGGTCAACTATGAAAACATCTTCTTCATATACTTGTGAATTTTGTGCCTCTTGCAAACCAAACTTTTGATTAGTTTTAAAAATAAGCATTGTGTTTGTTTATATGTTTACATGGTAGTTCACCCTCTCAAAATCGTAGGAAATTCCACTTTGATCTTTTATAGGAAAAGTCCAGTGAGTATGATTCACCTTAAAAAGGGGCTTTAGGGAGACACTGCCAGCCAGCGACCCACCTGGTCAGGGCAGGCCTGGGGAGCGGGTTCTCTCCCTGAGTCTGGTGAGTGCCAGCCATCCCTCCACCAGTGGTGCTGTTATGGGGGAGAACCGTGCTCTCTGTGGGGGCTCACTGAGCCTTGCACTCCCAAGGAGCCCGCGAGCTACCTGCTCAGACCACTGTCATTCACTGGGGTGAGCCTTCTAACACCTTCACAATGCTCCGAGCTGAGACACCTGCCTCTGACCTGCCCTCACTCTGACCACAGACAATCGCTGCTACTGCCCTTACCACCTGCCACCACCCCCCTTGCCCTGAGCTCAGCCCCACTTTCGGACAGGGCCCACCCTAATCCTGGTGGGCAGCCTAGCGTCTGACCCAGAACGGGTGCTCAACAAGTAAGCCAGTAATGGCCAGAAGCAACTCTCTGGGGCTTTCAGGTGAGTCTTCAGGTTCTGAGCCTCCCACAGTTGGAAACGTTCACCCAGCCAAGCATCATAAGGCTGTACATACAGAAAACACAGGCGAACAAGACAAACACACAGCCTTATTCAAGGCGAGGAAAGAAGCTGCTCTAAGTCCACCTGCCTAGTCTCCCTGTGGCCTCTTCATTCCCCAACAGCCTGTACACTGCCCAATTCCATTCAACTGTTTTCATAGTCATCTGTGGCTGCAGGTGCCCGTGGGGCCCAAAGGACTCAGCACCCCACAGCATTCGGTCCCAGGCTGCCTAAGGGACCTACTGCAGACACGGGGTGCCACTCCACTGTGGACCGGCCTAGAAGAACCTTCCTCTTCTCACCTTTTGCCACCTGCACATCTCCAACCTCACCCGCAGTCTGCCAGGCCTCCTGTTAGCAACTGCACTGATGTCTCGGTCACATGACACACTCGTATTAGTTCTAAGCTTACATCTCTAAATGTGGTGCTATGAAGGGCTGATAATTCAGAATCTTCTTTTTAACACCACTTGATTTATGTCAGGTACTAAACCCGTGTCCCCACCACAGGATGGTTTAGTAATTCCCACACCGGGGTATCAGCCAACATGGAATATCTGCAACAGGTGTAATCATGCCACTCAATTTCATTATCTCGTTTCCAAGGCCACTACTTTCAACAGAGCCCCGAGAGCACAAATATTTTCAGAAATAATCTATCTCAGGGAAAAAAAAAAGTGTACTAAGGAAACAAAGTTCTTAGATACGAAATACAAAGATAAAAGACTAGCAAGTTTAACCTTCCAGACAGACTGCGTGAAATGCAGGACTTGTTACTTGAAAGCAGGGATCTGAGGACACTGCGCCTGCGTGCGAGGACCTGGAGTCCACGAGAATTCTGTATCCCCAAGGGAAAGCCCTGGCTGTCCACCTGGGCAAGTTAGCCACCCTGTCCACAGGTCCCCTCATTCGGCAACCCACACCCACCTGACAGATCCCCTCGTTCTGTAAGTCTGCCTTTAGCAAACAGAAAAACCTGCCACGCAGTTTGTGTGTCAGACCGAGGTCTGTCCCCTTACCTCCCGGCCTTCCTCTCCTCCAGTCGGGCCGGGGCAGCGGGTTATCTGAGGTCACGGGTTAAAAACAAAAACAGCTCAAGCCCTTTCTGCTCCGAGTTTGTATCTGAAAAGCCCGGTGGAGGGGAGGGTGGGGGACGCTGCTGGACCTCGCCATCTCAGTGCTGTCAGCAAAAGGGGTCCCTAAGAGGCCCCGGGCCCAGCCGCCTCCTGCTCAAGGACCCGCGACCATGCCTTCCTCCTCGGACGGGCCCGAGCAGGGGTCGGGAGTTCTTCACGTGAAGATAAAGCTAGCGTCTTCCCCCATCCCGCATTCCCGGGGCGCCCGGAGGGGTCGAGAACCCGGCCCCGGCCCGGACGCAGGCCAGGGCGCCCCAAGGACGCCCAGCGAAAAATCCCAGGCGGAGGATACCGCCCGGCTGCCGTGGGGACCCCCTCCCGGACCCCTGGCTTCCACGCGAGGCTCCCCCCAGGACCCCGACCCGGGGGTCGCCCCCCGCACGCGCCCTTACCCACGGTGGACTTGCAGGCCTCGCAGAAGGTGTCGTCGGTGAAGCGCTCCATCAGGCTGGTCTTGCCCACGCCGCGGGAGCCGATGATGATGACCTGAAGCTTGAAGTCGGCCGGCCTGGGGGGCTGCTTCCTCCGGCGGGCCTGGCCGCCCGACAGCGCCGGGGAGCCCACGGCCAAACCGCCGCCACCGCCGCCACCGCCGCCCGCGGCCCGCCTCTGCAGCGCGGCGCCCGGATCCATGCACGCATACGGCTCCCGCTCGGCCCAGCGCCCGCCGCCGCCGCGCGCCCCCTCGGCCTCCGCCCCGAGCTCGACCCCGCGCTGCAGCTGCTCGGCCGGCTGGCTGCCCAGCGCCCGCTCGCCGCCACCGCCGCCGCCGCCGCCGGGAGAGGAGGAAGGGAAGCAGCTACTTCGCAGCAGCGGCAGCAGCATCCCGGACGAGGAGGGGCAGGAAGCGCAGGCGCGCGGCGGGGGCGGGGCCGCGGTGGCGTGCGTGCGTGCGCCCCCTGCCTGCCGGAGGACCGCCTGGCCGGCCCCCGAGCGGGGTGCTGCTGCTGCTGCTGCCGCCTGGTTTTTGGGGGTGCCACCCCGGCTGCCTGGGCTTTTTTCCCCTGCCACTTGCTTGCCCCCATTGGCTCGGTCGCCCCCGTGCTCAGAGAGTGCGATTCAGCCAGAAAGAACTCAGGACTGTAGAACTATCCCTGTGCCCGTCGCTTGCCAGGGATTTGTTTAGCCAATTCCCCAGCGTGTACCCAAGAACACCGGGTTCTGAACGTGGTAGGAGGAGCTGGCGCGGTCACCCAGAAGGATCGCGTTACCCACCTGCTTCGGGCTGGGTCTAGCACTCGGTGTGGCAGCCTACTGCCGGCGCACGCCATGCCACACACCTGAATGATGAAAATCCCTCATGGGCCACGCTGTAAACTGGAAAAAGTTCCCGTTTATAAGAGAATTCTTTGCCGAAGCAATCTCAGCCTTTCCAAGATATCTCAAACAAGTCTGAGCCCTATGATTTTGTTTTATTTTACAGTTTTATTTATTTAATGCGAACAGTTAAATCTTCATCTGCTGGTTTACACGCTAGACGGCTGCAGCAGCTGGGACTGGGCGAGGTGGAATTCAGGGCCAGGGTGCCAGGAGCTGCATCAGGGTCTCCATGTGAGTGCCAGGCAGACCTTGTGCTGCCTTGCCAGGAGGTTTAGGAGGGCGCTGGATCCCCAGTGGAGCAGCCAGGGCTTAAACCAGTGCTACAAAGCTGGCTCTAATCTCTGTTATTTTAAACTCATCTCCACCATTCTCGTAGTCACAGCACATTTCTTAACTCAGAGTTTCTCTTCTATTCTACAGGAGGGAGAACAGGACGTCCCACCCCACCCGCCTTTTCCCTGCAGTGATGTTGGGGACGAACAATTCACCATATCAATGCTAGAAATGAAAGCAACCCATCCATGCCCAATTTTCAGAAATAATGAGATCTCACAAAGCAAGACATAGCTGCAGAGATAACCTCGAGAGTCCAGATTCCCTCCGTTTTGCCTTAACTGCACGTCTGTCTGAGGCACACGGGTCCACAGACCTGTGCGAGCCTCGTGCTCCTCTCTGAAAGTTAGGATCTGCTTCTGCATGTTGTCCTTTGCTGGTGCTCTGAGATGACTGCCAAGGCTTGCCTGGGGTGGAGCTTTCTGCTGGCACCGTTTCCTCACCTCGCTGCCAGGGAGCTCCCCCCGCTCACGAGGCTCTGGCAGGTGGCAGGGTCACCTTTCCCACTGCAGGCTCTTTCATCGACAACTCCACTTAATGGTAGCTTTGAGTTTCATTTCCAGCGTTATCGTTCTTTGCATCTTTGCTGTATTTGTTTCTTTCTTGGCCAGTGCATTCGTTGGAGTTTGCAGGTTTGTAGGGTGTTGCACGGATTTAGTACTAGGAAACCAGGAAGCATGCTTCAGGCTTGGCTGTCAGTTTGAGCTATGGTTTGAAGACAGGTTGAGTGGGTCCCCAGAAAGCTTCAGGATCCCCAGTATGGTGAGGTTAGGAAGGGGGCATCTACTGGGGGGCATGTGCTGGAAGCACTACCCTTAGAAGGAATTAATATGATTCTTGCAAACCCCCAGTGAGCTCCTGTGAGAGCAAGTCGTTAGAAAAGGAGCAAACGTGGTTCTTGGATTTCTTTGGCTTGCTGACCCTCGAGCTGTGGCCGCGCCTCTTCTGGCACAGTCTACCCTGTTTGAAGCAGCCCTTACGAGAACATGAACCTGTGGGGCCACCACAGTTCCTGTGCTTTGTCATTAAGTTTGTCCCTTCCAGGACAGAGTTCTACTTTGCCTAGGCACTGTGATGACTGATTCTCCACTTACAATGTGCTGCTTCTGGCTCTTGGAAGAAGTTTCTAGATCCACATACCTCTGAATATGACTTTTGTGTCATAACTGTGGTGTCTTAGCCACAGCTCTGTTGATAGAACAAAGCCCCCCAAGCATGGGTACTTTAAAGAGAAAAGCACTGGGAGGGCTGGAGGCTGGCAGTCCAAGGGTGAGCAGCTCTCTCTGGGCCCTGGCGAGGACTTCACGGTAATGGTATGCCCATGGTGGTAGCATGCGCAGAGACTGGCTGGCAAGACAGGAAGTAGAGGGAGTCAGAGGGGCAGGCTTGTGCTTTTTGAATAACTTGCTCTCTCAAGAGCTAACTGGGATCCCAACAGGGCAGTACTCCTAGTTGCCCACCTTCCACCAGACCCTTCATCTCTCAACACTGCTATAGTATGGACCAAGTTTCCAGCAAGTCAATCGTGGCAGGGGTGGGAAGAAAAGAGAACACTCAAACTGCCTCCCAACCATAGCACTTGGGTCAGCTGGCGCAGTGGGCAGAAAGCTCTTTCCCAGCTAGAATTGCCAGCAGAAAATTTGGCTATAAATAGAATGACTGTGAATTATAAAATACATCTTATTGAGCCTAAGTTAAAAGAATCCTCAGTTTAATTTCTGATTAGGCGGGGCCACTCAAATATACCTGACAGAAAAGGCAGTGTGGTAGCCAGAGAAAACACAAGAAGAGATAGGAACCTTAACAAATCACAGTGAAATTATCCTCCTGCAAGATGTACAAACATCCCTTGGCCGTGCGAAGACAGTGCTGGGGCCCTTTCCCAGCTCGGCAGGGCCCCCAGCCCACTGTTCTAGCCTCCTGACTTGGGCAAAATCTGCAGCTGCAGGAAGCCAAATATCACAGAGATGGGAGTAACTAGTCCTCCACAGTCATCATCAATGTGTCTGTGTCACCGCAGGATGGATCAAAACCATGGGAAGCTGCAGGCACCAGAGAGGACACCCTCACTGCTGTCTCTCTCCAACGCTAATTTAAAAGAAAAAGCAACAGTGAGCATTCAGTACACCAGCCACTTGGGGTGCCTGTGTCCTGTGTCAGAGGGTTTGGATTGGAGACCCGGGCTGTCTTCAGAACCAGCTTCCAGTTAATGCATCCTGGGAGGCGACAGCTGACGATGGAAGTACTTGGATCCCTACCACTCAGGCAGGACACTCAGATTGTGCCCCTCATGCACAAAGGCCCAGCTGTTGTGAGTCTCTGGGTGAGCAAACCAAATGAGAGCTGTCTTTCTGCCTTTGAAAAAAAAAAATGGAATAAATGAAGGAGAAGGCAGTCAAAATTCAACACAAATTTAACAAAACTGTCAGAGTGTCCTCACTGATATCCACACTCCAGGGGCTTCCTTTAGACGCAGGATCATTGTAATATAAAGAGTTATATTTGGGGGCCTGGCGGCGTGGTCTAGTGGCTAGAGTCCTCGCCCTGAACGCACTGGGATTCTATATGGGCACCGGTTCTGGTCCCGGCAGCTCCACTTCCCATCCAGCTCCCTGCCTGTGGCCTGCAAAAGCAGTCAAGGACAGCCCAAGGCTTTGGGACCCTGCACCCGCGTCGGTGACTTTGTAATGGAAATAAAAAAAAAAGATTTATTTTATTTTTATTGAAAAGGCGGATATACAGAGAGGAGAGACAGAGAGGAATATCTTCTGTCCGAAGATTCACTCCCCAAGTGAGCGCAACGGCCAATGCTATGCCAATCTGAAGCCAGGAGCTCTTCCGGGTCTCCCACGCAGGTGCAGGACCCCAAAGCTTTGGGCTGCCCTCGACTGCTTTCCCGGGCCACAGGCAGGGAGCTGGAAGGGAAGCGGGGCTGCCGGGATAGAACCGGCGCTCATATGGGATCCTGGGCGTACAAGGCGTGGACCTTAACCACTGCGCCATCACGCCGGGCCCGGAAATAAATAAATCTTAAAAAAGAAAGAGTTATATTTGGATGAGGTCATATAGGAGTAGGGTGGGCCCAACTGTTGATGGGTGTCCTTATTAAAAGAGAAGAGACGGAGACACACAGACTTGAGCGAGGAGAGTGTGATGTGACCACAGAGGCCAAAAGAACATTCTACCACTGTCAGCCAAGGATTACCAGCAAAAGCCTGAAGAGTGGGACGGACAGGGCTTCCCTCTAGGTTTCAGAGAAAGCACGGCCCTGAGGACACCTGCCTGTTCCATTTCCAGATGCTTCCTCTGCTCTCAGCCATCCCATCGGAGGCACTTGGAAACCCAAGGAAACTTGTACGAAGTGCTGAGGGACTGCGAATTTTGTCATGATGCTTACCTCAATGTCTTTTTGTCCCCTTTGAGAAATACTAAATTCTTTTTTTAAAAAAGAGATTTATTTGAAATGGGATGGAGATTTCTTCTGTTTTCTGGCTCATTCTCTCCAAATGGCGCTAATAACCAGAGCTGGACCAAGCCGAACAGAGGCCAAAAGCTTCTTCCAGGTATCCCATGTGGATACATGGGCTCAAGGATGTGAAGCCATCTTCTTTCTCCTTCCCAGGCATGCCATGAGGGACACAGATAAAAAAAAAAAATGAAATGAAATGGGGGGCCCTGCGGCGTGGCCTAGAGGCTAAAGTCCTCGCCTTGAACGTGCCGGGATACCATATGGGTGCCAGTTCTAATCCCGGCAGCTCCACTTCCCATCCAGCTCCCTGCTTGTGGCCTGGGAAGGCAGTTGAGGACGGCCCAAAGCTTTGGAACCCTGAACCGTGTGGGATACCCGGAAGAAGTTCCTGGCTCCTGGCTTCAGATTGGCATAACATCGGCCGTTGCGGTCACTTGGGGAGTGAATCATCGGATGGAAGATCTTCCTCTCTGTCTCTCCTCCTCTCTGTATATCTGACTTTCTAATAAATAAATAAATAAATAAATAAATCTTTTTTAAAAAAAAATCAGCACCTAGGACTCACCTGGCACCATATGGGATGCCAACGGCATTGTAGGCTGTGGCCTAAATCACTACAACACAATGCTGGTGCTGAAATTCTCTCGTAGAACTCTGTGTCTCTCTGCTGGTGGTGCCTCTCCAGTTGTGGGCTTGGTCTGCT